TCTTGTTTTATAGTATTTAAGACTTCGATGCGTGAGAGAAGTTTTGAAAGTTTTAAATTCTTGTCTTGATTACTTCCGATGTAATAGTTATCCGTGGCGTGGAAAATGAAATTCTATTAAAACTGCGTTTCTGTGAATCTACATACAAAATTGTAGATCATCGTAAACATTTGCAGTATAACGAAAAGTATACCGAGGATTTAATATATACACTGAAAATGCAAATCTGATGAAATATCGATTCTCAGGTTATTGTCTCTTCGGAAACCTTCGACACAAAGCTTAATGATTCATATGATTCTCGTTTTAGAAAACTCTGAATAGAAAATCGAATTTGCGCGAAGATGAACCGATAAGAAACCATTCGAATTGTATTCGCCGGTCATTGTATCGGCGGTTTTTCGCGCGGAGAGCGAGTATAAAAACCCCGGTGATTTAGTTGATTGTTTTGTGACCGAATCGAGTCGCGGGTACGGGTTTAAAGGAACAGGATCATGGTGGATCAGGTCGCGGTCGATTAATAATACGGTGATCGATGCACAAAGGCGTCGGGTATCGAACGGGATTATCGGCGCGATCCCTTTTACCTGCAATGCCTTGCGTTTCATTAATCAAACTGTTTTCAGCGACGCGAAATAACGGAGGGAAGACGTATAAATTCTCTGTCCGATCGGCGCGGACGTTCATCGCGAATAAATATCTTTCATCGTCCCGAGCTTAATCGTTCATAATTATTCTTCGTATCTTAATCATTCCCGGCCACTAAAACTTCGGTCGAAAAATCCTCTTCGAAGATCAATGAAAATCGTTTCCTCGGGCAGCTTAGTCATCGGTGAGGTGTACGTTTCCAACGACAACTTCCTCGTTCCGAGCACACTGTTCTACTTATCGTTCAAGGCCGCGACACGATTACACAGTGACCTTGAAGCCGTATTATGCTCAAGTTGAAGGTTGAACCTTTCGAGGATCCGTTGCAAGAACTCGCGACGCGACGTGTACGCTCAAGATCACTTCATTACGCACTCGTGACCTCGAACAGCCTTGAAACGCGGACCGTTGATCTCGATGCAAAAGTGGCTTGCCACATTATGGAACCCGAAGTAGTATAATTTATTGCAAACCAGAAAATTCGTGTCGAGATATCCTGAACCTTTCACTTTCCTGAATCCTAGCTTCTGATCGGTAACAGTCATATCGTCAATCCCTTAAATCGCAGCTTTAAATCACGCATCATTAGTTCATTATATAATTCGTTACATCAAGAGGATACACATCTAGATCTCTTCAATGTTTCCGTTTGCCGAACTCCAACCCTTCTTCCAATGGGACTCCACAATCCGGATTCACGCGAACCCACTAATAGTCACCTTAGAGATCTCCTAACGCCATTTTATATTTTTTTCTCGACGAAACCACGGTCGCTAATATTATATACGTGTTCCCGGGGGCCGGCGAAGAGCGCTGTTCGGCCACTTACTTTAATTAGCGCTACTTACACGTTCGCAATCGAGCCGACTACTCGGTTAGCCTTTCCTCTAGCGATTCGAGGATCCTTCTGACGGTTGTTCTCTTTTATTTTCTTTTTTCCCTCCCTCTAGCTCTTTTTTTCCTTTCCTTCTTCTCCTCCTCCCCCTCCTTATCCTTCTTCTTCTTCTTCTTCTTCTTCTTCTTCTTTTTAATACTTCCATCGCGTCGAGGACACGACCGTGGCACTCACGCCCACGCGATACTCGACGTGCCAAGCGGCGTGTTTCATCCGAGTATTTACTTTAAGCGATTTAATACCGGGGACAGTTCCTCCGAGGAGAGCCGGGCCCGAACCTCGATAACTTCCATCCGTCCCGGTGCTATTAACTAATTAAACCGTAACGCCGTGCGCACCACCGTCTTCATCAACGATATTTAACCGGCGTCGCCGCTCGAAACCGCGCCTCGTTCGCGCGGCAACGAATTACAGCCTCGAGTGCAACCCCTGCCCTCCTCTCCGTCCACGATTTTCCTGTCGCGACAATAATATTGCGGTCTCGTTGTTGTGCAACGCGATTACGTGTGCGCATCACTGCTCGGAAATTTCGAGGATCTTTCTGAGTTCATTGATTTCGATGTTTTCGTTTGTCTTTACGTTTCGGCATGGAATGGTTAGGTGTTTCGGAAGTTCGTAAGGTATAATACGATAGAATGTGAATTTGAATAGAAATTGAAATTGTAGTAGCAAACTTTTTTCTTTCGTTTGATTTATAGGGAATAATCTATAGAATTCGGAATTGTAGATTCGCAATTTATTTGAGTTATATTATTCTTTTAGGGAATAGGTTTCAGGGAATCGGTTTTATGGGAATATTTTACTGTTTTCTGCACCATATAGAATGACAGATAGCCAACGGTAATCTAGATATTTGAAAAGATAATGATTTCGATGCTAGTGGGAAAGTTTCTTCAGAATTGATTCTTACTGTGATTGAATTAGTATGTCCGTAAAATTGGCTTTTTCCTTTAACTGAACTAGTCAATATCGAGGAAGTTTTAGTATTAATACTACGTTTTATAGCGAATATCGTTCTTCAACTTGATTTTATTAGCCGGCAAGTTGAATTTACGGGCGACAGAATTTAAACCGGAATTTCTGGATCATTGTGTTCTACATGTATCTTCAGCAGAGTTTAATCAACCTTACCGCTTCCGGTTGTTTGAGCGTTCACATACAATGGGTGCTTTTAAGAAGATGGACTCCGCATGGCGGTAGAAAAGACGGAGTGACAAATTGTCTCAAAAGACAAAATTGTGTAGAACAAACTGTCCCGAGCTTAACTCGTGGAAGTGAATTAACTCGTCTTTTCTATGCAATTCTCTCACGTCATCATTTGTCGTTGTTCATTAACTTATTCAACAATTCCTATAATTTCTACTCTTGAACAACAATTCCTTAATCGATTAGCAATGTTATCGACGATTAAGATTTTCACATATGAGAAGATACTCCACGTGATAAAATAAAAATTGAAACATGGGAATTTTTTTATTTGCAATAGTTTCTTCGCGGAGCTACAGTACGTGACTACTAGCAAAAACTCCTTTATTCAATCAAGCTACCTACATGACTAAGCATCTAAATATCCAGCTATAAGAATTACAGAATCCCCACAAAGGATCTGCTCAGATTTCCAAGCGATCGAAAAGGGGGATTAAGACAATCATGTTAGGACGCAACTGCAATTAATACCCAGAGAAAACACAATTCCTCGATCGTACTCCAAGACTCCTTTCACTGGTCCTAAAAGATTACAACCGGAAGTCGCAGCAATCTCCACCCGGAACGGCGAAACGTTCGAACGTTACCAATCAATACCCAATGGCTACATTTCCCTCCACGGTCTGGTAGCCCGGATCGGATCGTTGCTGTAGCATCGAAAGCCGGTCGAATCGATACGTTAATTACCTATCAGCGTGGTAAGCCGAATTACAGGCTCCTTTGATAGCGCGCTGTTTGCCTGAAATCGTTTCTCGGGCCCTCGACTTCCCCCTCGGCCCGTCGTTAATAGCGAACCTCCAGGCCCGCGGTGCTCCGGACCCAGGAGCAGCCGCGTCTCCTTCACCTCCAATTATATTCCAGCAAAAAAAAGTAGCCAAGAACTCTATCGAACTATAGAGATCGCGGAATCCGGGGAAAAAAGATCCAGAGGAGGATCGAGAGCACGATGAAAGGAGCAAGACGGAGAGACGCGCGAGTGGTCCGGAGTTAGAGCCGGTCCCGCAGCAGCGAAACACGTTCCTCGGGTTCCAGCGCCGCGCAGGATAGGATTTCGTTTATTTCGTTGGCTCACCTCTGACCTCCTCGGTTCCAATTCGCGTTTTCTGGACGCCCCCCC